TACCCCCAAATCCGATTTCAGAGCCGGAGATCTTATATACGACTCGCCATGCAGCTCCGTGGCTCCTTCTGTAAGAAACGTTTAATGTATTAGCGGGGGCTTTACTGAGCTAGTGCTCGGGAGTGAGGGAGACGGTCCATGTCCGCAGCTTGGAAAACATTCCGGTGTTTGGAGCTAGCGCCTGGATTTGGGCAAAGTCCAATTCAGGAAAACAGATGTGTTTGCCTTGCTGCCCTTTCTTGTAGTGAAGTGGGTAAATAACGCCTCAGCGAAGCGTAACAAAGGTGTTACCCAGGACCAGGTGTGAAGACGTTTCTTAAAGGTTTCTATAGGTGGCTCCTGGCAATGGCAACCGTTAGAAAGCAGATAGATGCAGCGTGTGACAGCACCTTGGTTTCTTGGAAGTAAGAGAATAACTGGAAATTCCAAAGTTAGTGAAAGTTACAGGCAACTTGTTAAGACCCTGGTTTTCACTTTTCCTGCACTTGATGCTGAAACTCTGTAATACCCCATTGTAAGTGTCACACTCCTTGTGATTCACCTAAAGGACAGCGTATTTCCTTTTTGGGGAAAAACAGAAGGCAGCAGTCACATTTCTTCCCTGGCTTGCTGCCTCTTAGCATTGCATCAATAACATACAGCAGATTACATCATCTGCTCTCACAGGTGGCTCCATCAGTGCACATATACTGCTCTGGCTGGAAGAACCGTATGCATTTCAGCGGCTGCTGACCTTAGAAAGGTTGCTAAAGCCACAAGAAGTTGTTTGGATTTACAACTTCTGATTTTGCAGAGCAGATGATGGCGTCTGGACGGATTTCTCATCTGATCTGTACTAGCTGAGATGGTGGGAATTGCTCTGCCAGGGCAGTATATAGAAATTACAATACAGTGTGAGCTGATGCAATAGCAGCACTTTTAAGGAGCGGTTGGTATATGTGGAAAGAGGTGAAGCTCAGAGGGAGCCTTCGCAAAAGGTGCTGTAAAGGAGCTGCTGCCCGGTGGCTCCCCAGGCTGAATCTCCTGCAGCCCGAAGGGTGGGCAGGCAGCCCCCAAAGCAAGCTGGAGCTGAAGGGGGCTTGTCCTCAAGCCAGGGAGGGAAAAAGGGGGGTTCTCTTACTCCCTTCCCCCAGCGCATGGGAAGGAGGGATGGTCGCACAGGGGGGTTTGAGGCCCCTGAGCTGGGTTTTATCTCAGCTTGCCCAGAAGAAACCTCTCTGTGATGTGAATAACTTGTGATGTGAATGACTGGTGCCGTGTTTCCCCTTCCTGCCCCTGTGGCATCACTGGTGCCGCAGCTGGCGTATCTGTGTGCGTGGTGCAGCCGAGGCTGAGCACCGGTTTCGTCCCCAAGGGTGGGGAAGGGGCAGAAGAGAGCTCTGAGAAACGTGGGAACTGCTGGAGCGTGCGTTAGTTAGCTGGGTCCCTTTTTTCTTTTGTTGGAGAATTGAAACGTTTTCCCTTCTGATAAACTGCCCTACGAGGTGATGCTGCCCAAATTCTGCCCTAACATCACTGAACTGACTCAAAAGGGTTGGACTAGATGATCCTTAAGGTCCCTTCCAACCCAAACCATTCTCTGATTCTGTAATTCCAAACTTTGGATAGCAATCCTTTGGGTGAGGACCATGCAGTCTTCCTCCTCTTCATCCCCTCTTCTCCTGCCCTCCCCGGGCTGCAGGCATTAATGCTCCGCATGCTGCTCGGCTCCCTGGCTGCGGGAGCGTGGGCACTGACCAGCCCACCTCGCAAAGGGACGTGGTGCTTGCATTTGTTGGGTTTTGCTTTTTTTTTTTTTCCTCCTTCCTTGCTGAGCTCTGCCGTGGGCATGTGTGGAGCAGTGAGTCACCCCTCGCTCCTCACATCCCGCACGTCGCCGTCAGGAGGCTGGAGGCTTTCCCCGCCACCGCCCCTCCTGCCCCCCGCAGCACCCGCGCCAGCCGGGAGAGCATTGCACAGCAAGCAGAGCACGCCAAGGAAACTGCCGGTGAAAACTTGGGGTTTTTTCTGCAAGTTTTGAATGTGCTTAGGAAATTGTATTGCGAGACCGGCTGTAAAAGTTGCTAAAGACTTCTCTATCCCTCCTCAGTGTCTGGGTTTTTTTCTTTAAATAAAAGGTCCTTATCTTCTCTGCCAACTTGGCAGCAAAGGTTGCAGCTGATTCCTGCATTTAGGCTATGTTTTTTTCTCTTCCGCAACGCTTTGAAAAATGACCATTGCAGAAAAGATAGCTGGAGGAGACAGCAATTAGACAGGGAAAGTTCAAGGTCACCATACTTGCAGCCAGGGCTTGCTGCATGGTGAGGTTACGAGCTCTTTGCGGTGTAAGATGTGCTCTCTCCTTCCAGCCCTGGAGAGCGATGAGTGGTGTAAGCTGTTCTGGCCCTGCACAAACACCAGAAAGCAGCATGTCTGTGCAGTACGCAATCCCAGAAACAAAGGTCAGTGTGAAGCGTTGGAATCATAACATTTTGCCTAAAAAAAGGGGTTTTTTTTGAGGCAGGATTTTCTTTGCCTCCTGAACCTTGTATTTGAAAGTCTGTTTTCCAAACTGAGGGCTAGGAAGGTTACTTTTTAGTTATTAAATATAGATGGAGATGTCCATGCAATCCCAAAGTACTAAGAGCTGGAGCTGTGGGGAGAGCACAGAGCTCAGGATAATTCTGAGGGTTAACCAAGCAGCTGATAATCATCTGTGGCAAATGCCTCTTAGAGCAGCAGTCAGATTGTGTTGATTTAATTAAATAATATTTAATTCAATTTCGGTTTAAATTTGAGTAACAAAGTCTGTGCAAGTTCGTTGTGTGGACATTTAAATTGGATTAAGAGTGGATAAAAGGATTAATGACTAACACTAAATTAGACTAATTTTAGCTGTTCCTAATCTTATTTAGGAGAGTCTACACAAGGAGGTTGTCAGGTTTAATTGCAACTTTGATTAAACCAGGCTTTATAGCTGGGAGAGCTGCATGAGTTTAACGTCATCTGAAGAAGAGCTCTACCTGAAAATGCAAAGCAGCGTAAGCACCTGAGGCTTAACCTAAATATTGCCGGCCGGGGGAAGGCCGAGACGTGTGACCGCTCAGAGCGGCTCAGGGCGATGATGCTCCGCAGCCCGGCTCCGCTCACCGGCTTCGTACGAGCTTGGCCGGCGGCCGGTGCGCAGCGCCGGAGCCACTGGCTCAGGTAAAGATGCTTTGGAATTGCTTTGGAGGGTGCAGGCGAAGCCATGCTGCAACCACCGCTGCTGTGGGGCAGCTCTGCCCGCAGGAGTCCAAATTTAACTCTCCTGCTGGGGTGGCTCGTTTTACATGAGGATAACCTTGGTGATGCTCTTGGGAACGGGAGCACCGGGAGCGAGAGCTCTGCCCTTGCTGTGGGTGGACGTGCTTGAGGAGAGGAGCGGTGAGAATTTCCAGCTTTGCAGAAGGGCTGGAGAGGGGTCAGCTCCGGTTTCAGCTGTGTCCCTTGGCCGACACACAGCTCCGTGCTGGCAGCGCGGCCACAGGCAGCCGCCTGTCCTGGGCAGGGGCACGGCAGGCGCTGGGCACGCTGCTGGTGCGTGCTGGTGGCTCACGGGGGGGGGAGAGCTGCTGCGAGAGGGGCTGGAAGGGAAACGACTGTGGCGTAAGGACCAGCCCCTGCTGCCAGACCGTCCCCATAAGAAGCTCCAAGAAATCTTCAGGACAGTCGGTCTGCTTGGGCACAAGTGTGCTGTAAGGCGTTGTCGCCCCAAAACAGTTGAGTAAAATAGGGATATAAAAAGAAAAGGAAACCCCAAAGCCCAGCAAGCCATATTAAGGGCCTGTCCCTATTAAAAATGAGTAAAATGATAAAACTTTGGTTTCATCACCCTGGCAGTTTCTGCTGTACCGAAGCGCTGTGTGCCTGCTCGGTGCGGGCGCAGAAGAACCTTCCCACGGGCTGCGACGGGCAGAGAGTGAAGATGGGTAAACGTGGAGTGTGAGACGGCCACGTGGCTCAGCCATGGTGACCCGGCCAGTTTGTGGCTGTGCTCTGCCGTGGTGTCTCAAGGAGTGATCGCTGCCTCCTGGAGCAGAGGAGGTCGCAGAGGACCAGCCACAGGGACTTTGGTGCTTAGCAGCTAATATGGCCCGTTTCACACAGTTTTGCACCCAGGTGCTCTTCCAGCCGACCTGCTCGCCAAGTTCTCCTGTCTGAACCCAAAGTCTGAATCCAAATTTTTTTTTTTTTCATTTAATATTATTTACCTTGGAGGAAGACATTCAAACATAGTTAACACAATGCTTTTGTGCAAGAATTGTGAGTCTGGGGGCCCATCCTGACCTAGCTGGGAGGCCAGTCCCACGCCGAGCGGCACCTTGGCCTCGACAATCACTGGAGATCCCTTCCCACCAGCCTGGGCCCTGGCTCTGGGGCTCTGGGTTTTGCGGAGTCGTGGAGGGGAACTTGAGACAAAATGCCAAGGTGACCTCTGCCTCTTGGTGACATTTCCCAAAATGTGGCATAGCATCATTTTGGTGGGTCTCAGCAGCAGCGGTGCTGAGGTGAAAAGATACGTTGCCTCATCTTCCACACGTCCGTGCACGGACAAGGGTCGGGCACTGCCGGACTTCGTCCGTGACAAGTGCGAGCTCCGCGGGGCGGCTGGGACGCAGGGCTGTGCTCACCTGCTCCAGCCAGACATGCCGCTCAGG